AGCAAACTTTAACATTGACAAATTGCTTTTGTTGTATCGAGAACTAACATAAGAAATAAAGCAAGATGAAGACAGTCAAATCTTACTTTGATGAAGTATTTCATACCGCACCTGAAAATAAGTATTTATTTATCTTAATTTTATGTTTTCTCCACAACCAAATAAAAAATAAGTAATAATATAACAATAATAATAAAATAATTATGATTATTTTTTTAATTTATGCATAGCACAAATCCTAGGTGCACTTCATATGGGAAGCGTAGGAAAAATAAGGAAGAAGAAGAAGCTAAAGAGAAAAGGGGGTAGGTTTTAAGGGCATAAATGAGAATAAGAAAATAAAGAAAAGAAAAGAAAAACTAAAATATTACTAAAATATATCATATGTTGACTCTTTTTTATCATATAGTTTTTTAATTTAAAAATTATAAAAATATAGAATTTTTGGTAAAATTACATTAATATAAATTTTTTTATAAAAGTCACCAATGACGTTTTTATTTGTCAAAATTTTAATTGCACTTTACCCGCTAATGAAAAGATTTAAAAAAATAACTTTTTTGTATGAAAAATTGGGAAGATTTAAAATAAAAAATATTTTTTGCCAACTAAAATCACCATTGGTAACTTTTCATGCTAAAAAATAATTAAAAAATCTCTAAAAATTCGTTATTGGCGACTTTTTAATCCTAAAAATAAATAAAAAATACCAAAAAGTTGTTATTGGAGATTTTTTTATTTATGTGTCCATAAATACTTAGTTCTTCATTCTTAGTAAATTGCAAATGAAGGAAAAGAAAGATTTTTAGATGCAAGCTGAGTTGATTCATTGAGAAAAATATGAGTGTGTCAATATTAATATACACATATGTTGGTGAAAAACCAACATGTGTGTATATAAGAGATAATGTATCATTTGAAGAACTAAAGCATTGGTTTACTTAATATACTGAAGTTTAGTTTCTAAAAACACTAGAAAATATTGTGTATAAGTGTCAAATATCCCTATTTGGTGATTTCATGCAATATCTTACAATTTCAATAACAAACAATGATGATGTTCAACAAATATTTTAAATACATCAACAACATCATCTCCTAACTTCTTCCATTGAGTTGTATGTTATTTTCAAAAAAGTTGCAATTAGCACCATTCAAGAATATGGTGAGGAAACATATGCAAACAGTACCAAACAAAGGTAGAATGGGAATAGAACACCAGTGAAATAATGAGAACAAGTTTAATGGAGAATACAAAAGCAGTGAGGATAGTAAAGATAAGGATTTAGATGAGGATGATGATGGTGATTGATGACAATGCTCATTTGTTAAACACAATAGTTGGGCAACATCCATTTAGGGAGCCACCCTTCATGCCTTTGTTAGATCTTGATGTTATGCATGCATCTAAGTTTCTAAAGTATGCAAACTTGGGTTTGTATTGTTTTTAATTTTGTTGTTGATGAATTAAATTTTAGTTTTTTAATTAGTTTATGTTTGTGTGTGCATTTAATAGGTCATTATAATGTAGATAGAGAATTGTATGTTGGATCAATAATAGAGAAATCGTTATACGAACAATTAAGCATTACAGTATATCAAATGCAGTGGACTGCAAAGTACTCGAGTTAGAACCAAATATGTTTTATTATAAATGCATGATGTATGGAATAGATTGTTGATGACTTTTTTTTGTGCTGCTTTCAAAAAGAACTAGTATATTTAGGAGATGAGAACTGCTTTTAGATACAATTGCAGAATGTATCCAGCTAACGATAGAGTTTGACCGTTCCTTTAAGATAAAAATCGTAATTGGTGATATTCAATCTTAGTATGAATATACGACAACATATTAGAAAACATAAATATGAAAGTAAAAAGTAATTGAAAAAGATTTTAATTAGTGGGAAGTCTCGTTTGAAGCTTTGCCGCAATCGTGTATAGTAATGTGTGACATTGTTCAAAAATCTGTTGTCCAGTTGAATGCTATCGAGCCTACTATGATGATGAGCTAAGTTCTAATGTTCAAAATATCACATTGAATGTTCTAGAGTTTTGGTCCTTGTATTAGAGCATTTAGACAATACAAACCACTTATGTAGGTTGTGCATATCTGGACATGATCAACTGTGTGCCACTATATAACTTTAAAACAAATCAAAGGGCTAACAGTTGACTATACAAATTGTTCTCTTCTCATGTCATCTGGAATTAAAGCATCAATATCATCACCCTTATATTGTCACCACAAAAACTGTATGAAATAACCAAATATTACTATTATAAACAGAAATCAAATTGTTTTGTAGACATAAATCTAACATATTTAACTATATAATCTAATACTAATACTCCCAACATTCATAAATGGAGTGTTCGTTAGTTATTGCAGTTGTCTCCATCTGAGAACAAGTGGAAATACAATTAATTCTCCAGGAATTGAAGCCAACCACGAGAGTCAATGTCATGCTCATACTTGCAACAATATTATGCACCTATAAATTTCTCTTGCATCATGTCATAAACCATGATCTAAGTCTCTATAAAGAAAGGAAAGACACGTCGAACCCCAACTATAATTTCCAATTTCATTCACATATGCCAATAACAACAATAATTTTGCATGTACCACTTAATTGTTTTTATTCGGCATTAGAATATATCTCAACAAAGAAAATGTTATCTTTATACATATTGGGCTCTTCTAATGTCAGAATTTACATAAAACCAACTAAGGTGTTGTGTTAGCTACTTTAATATAATTTCTAATCCTTCAATATCATTTGTTGTCAATCACCTGACTAATAACTCATCACACATATTTTAAACCACTGTAAAATAGGGATTAGTAGAATCAATTACTAGTAGACCATTAATTAGAAGTTTAAGCAATATAGAAACATCTTCAAATATAATTGTCCATTCTTCACAGAGTAAATTAAATGTGTATGTCTCAAGCCTCTATCGTTCCACAAGTGCATTAATAAAAAGACCGTTTATTTGCATTTGACAAATTTTAGAAACTCGATCAAAGCTAATATTGCGTAATATGTCATTTATTTCTTCCATAGTTGATATTATAGATAAGTGATGAAAGCATAATTGTCTCATTTTCTATTATAAAAAATTAATATTAATCATGACAAAAATTTATTTCACAAAAATATTTATCAATTCCATAAATAATAATACAAATATTACATAAATTATTACATTAACACAAATATATTATAATTTATTCTATTTATTAACCAATTATACCAAAATAAATACATTTATGTTAATTTTTTAAGTTGTAAAATTTTAAGAATATGTTAATAAATGTAAAAAAAGACTAATTAAAAAATTTAACAAATTTAATTAATTAAAAAAATTATAATAATAAAAATCTCTACTCATATTAAATAACATGTTCTTTTTTTTTTCAATTTCTTAACTATATTAAACTTTTTCAATTAATGTTAAACAAGACATTATAAATATTTGGATAAATGTGGATTTTTTGCAAATTACTCAAGAATATGAATAAATGTAATTTATTTTTTTATTAAAATTAAATTATAAATAATATTTACAAATTAACAAAAATATTATAATACTTACATTTAAATTACGAATATTTTTGCTTTCTCAAATCCTTAACAATTTTTTAATCTAATTTAAAATTAATATTTTTTTCACTCAATATTTTTTTTAGATTATTTTTTCTAATTTTTTTCACCCTTATTCTACCTCTAAACTCTCTCATAGCCATTCTTCTTCTATCTTAAACCCTTCTTTTTTTGCTTCAAACTTCTCTCCTTTCACATGCATGACTTCTCATTGTACTTGAAGTCCCTATTTATAGCATGAAAGGTTGTTAATATCAATTTTTACCTTCAATAATGTATCTTGTATGCCTTTAATAGTGAAAATGATAGAGATTCTTAACCCAAAAATTGTCAATGGCAATTGATGATTTTTCAAAGCACCCAAAGATTCCTGAATAGAATGTTGTGCTACAATGAAAATTCAGATTCCTTTCCTAGTCAAAGGTCGCCAATGACGACTTTTAAGAATCTCCAGTATCTATCAATGAAGTTCAACTTGCTACAACAGGTAGTTGCAAACTTCTTGACCCACAAATTATCAATGACAATTGATGATTTTTCAGTACACCCAAAGGTTCTTAAAAACTATGTTGTACTACAATGAAAATTCATATTCCTTTCCTAATAAAAGATCACCAATGGCAACTTTTAAAAATTTTCAATACCTATCAATAAAGTTTAACTTGATACAGAAGATAGTTGCGGACTCAAATGTTGCTAGTGACAATTTTTTAGACGTTTATCACTTTGTCTAACTTTGTGTCCTGTTAATAGAATCTTTAAAAATTTGGCTTTTGTTCATGTTCATTAAAAAATTGTCAATGACATTTTTTTTACTTTATATTCAAGTAATTTTACAAAAGAAAAAAATATTTTTATAATTTTCATTTTTTATATTTAAATTATTTTATCCCATATGCTCAGCAAAGTTTATAAAGAGAAAAAAATTAACAATAATTTTAACAAAATAAAAAATAACTATTTAAAAAATTAAAAGACCAAACCAAAAAAAAAATTAAAAATTAAAAAAATTAATTTACTAAGTTTTCTCTAAAAAACTAAAATTGCATGCTATCTAAATTAGATAAACCAAAGATATAATCAATTATATCATTATATCTTCATCGTCAAATCATTAACATCATTAATTAATTATGACCACTTATAAAGAAAACAGAGACCACTGAAGATGAATTAATGAATAAGATCTCCAACGGTCAAAAGAACAAGCGAAGAGCAATCCAACGTCAGTTCCTAACGTTCACTCCTCTATTCCCTCTGACCCATAACGGTCACTTTTGCACCTTTCACTATCACGCTCACCCACTCTAACTCCACGCTTTCTTTTTCTCTTTCTTTTCTGGCTTTGAACTCATTCCTCTCTCTCTCGTGTGAGTGAGTGTGTGATCAATGGAACCCGCGAAAATCGATTGGAAGAGACTAGAATGGAACTTTGTGGAAGACGAACTCTACGAGCACATCAACGCACCCAAGTGGGTTGACTTTTCCTCCCTTGATCACTCCCTCCATGATCATGATGATGAAGCTTGGTTCTGCAAACAAGGTAAGTGGCAACCTTCTTGTTACTTTCTTTCTTTGTTTCACGATAATTCTCAACTTGGCTTGCAAAATTGGCTTCTTTTTCTCAATGGGTCATTGCTAATTTTGATGTTTGTTGTTGTTGTAGATTGCAAACATCCCAAAACAGCAGAGGATTTTCTCAGATCAATAACTCCTTCTAAGGTTTTTTTCCTTTCTCCTCTTCTGCCCATTTTTGTAAGGGTGAGAATCATGAGATTCTCGATCTTGGGTGTCTCCCAATTAGATAAAAACTCAACTTGAGCTGGTTTTCTTGTTAGATTTATGTTTTTCTTAATCTGTAGTTCTAATTATGGTCTCGTTAACTCCTTTGTTCTTTTTAATCGATCTAATTATTGTCTTTATTAATAATATATTGTTATCTCTTTCTTATAAAAGATCTTGTGCTGAGGTTCTTTAATCTTTTGTAGAAGACTAAAAGCCCAGCTTACGTTTCAGAAAATCTTCCAGTTGGTGACCAAAATAGAAGGTAATTATAGCACCATTTCTTTTACCATGCAATTTGGGATTCTGCTAAAGGGTTGAAATTGACCAATTTGTATACACGTTGATTGAATATTGGTACAGAGATGTGAGAATCAAGAGAAGGGTGCCCGCCCTATCATCAGCTTCACCCCAAGGTGATAAATTCAGATTCAACCAAGACAGTGAAAACCAAAACCCGAATCTCTTTACTCCTACAATTAACCCCTTGAAGCCCATGAAGGCAACAATTAAGTCAAGTGAGGAAAAGAAGAAGCTTGCTGATGACACATTCCAGGACCACAAAGTGGTTCCTTCATTGAGATCAACTCTCTCCGCGAAGAATCTGTTTGCGGGGAGGCCTATTCTGAATCAAATCACGGAATTCTGCAATGAGTTGAAGAAATTGGCAATAAGAGCCAGGGAGAGAGAAAATTCTGAAAATTTGAGTCCTGCAGTGAGTGAAGAGGTTGTTGAGAGGACCCCATGTTCTGTTCAAGCCTCGGCAGAGTCAGAGATAAAAGAGAAAGAAAGGAAGCCTTTGCTTGAGGTGAGTAAGGCAGAAAGATTGGAGGAGGGTTCATGTGTTAAAGGGAAGCAACAGAGAAAAATGTAAGCATATTCTCCCTTGGAAACTATGTCACTTAACAATCCAAGTTCTTTCTAATAACAAGCATATTCTTTCCTTCTAAAATGATTAGCATACTTTAGAACTGTGATAAACAATGCCAATTGATATCGCAGCGTTATACCTAGTAATGCTTAATCTACATTGCCAAGAAGTGTAATGATTAAGAGCCACGACATAGACTGGACATATGGTTCATTAGTAGCATAATTATTATGGGTAGTTGTATCATTCGTATAAGAAATTGGAATTATTGAACAATCTTACATTATTTGCTGTTCAGTTACATGTAATGTTTTCTAATATGAATAACAAAAACTGCAATTTACCACCTCATTCTATCATTTCCTGAGTTGCTCAATTGTGTATTACTATATTCTGCAGAAGACCTGAAGAGGCAGAGAACATGCCTATAACTCTTGACATGGAGAATGTTAAACACAGAAGGGAGGAGAGCTTACAACAAATTCGAACGAATCCTCCCTCTCCCCAGTGCTTTTCTGCTACACGTGGACTCAATAAAACTACCCCTTCAAAGCCTTCCAAATCCCGGCTAATGGTATGTTCAATATGCATACTTAAATATAAATATGCTTGCATCGGTATTCTAGGTGTATCTGCTGCTATTTAATTACTAGTGATAATTTTTATATTTTATAAATTTTTTTTAATATTTCCTTAATTTTAAGACACTTTTTTTATAGTTGTTATTTAACTAAGATTTGATCAAGGTTATCATAAATGTTCAAGATGCATACATAAATATAAATAGATTGTAGTTCATACTTATTGTCACACCTATATCTTAATATAAATAGATAGCTCCAAATGAAGAGAGCAAGATCTAGCATGTAAATGATACATGAAAAGGTCATGAAAATGTACCAATTCAGGCACAGTGTTTTCCATGTTTAAATGACATTGATGATTTCTTTATTTCCCTACAAATCATTACATTCTGTTCAGTTAAGTGACACAGGACTACATTTTCAGGCTTTTGAGAAAAGTAAAATTTTGAATGTTACCGGAATCTGATATAACTTGATTTCACTGAAGTGCTTCGCCTTTCTTTTTAATTTGTGCAGGAGAGAGGAATACTTGAAGAAATTGAACCAAACAAGGAAATTGTGAAGGAGTCTCCTGCAGAGAAAAGCAGAAGCATTACAATAGTTGATGGAAGAGAAACAAAAGCCTTGGACATGCTTTGGTTCCTGAAACCTTGTACTCTGTCAGGTTGATTTATTGAACCTGGGGAGAGATTCTTTCATTTGTTCTCAATATTAGTCATAAAACCAACAACGTTTTATTTAGATCTAAATGGTCATTCTTTATTTATTGATTTGTCATACGTTCTCCCATATTCTTGTTTTGTATCATTGATATAGGATTCTGAAGCGGACGATTCAACACACCTGTACTGAAACAAAAATTATTTAATAAACTTTTATTTTTTTTCTTTTATATGACTTACATGAGGAATTTTCATCTTTTTCTGTAAATTATTTAATAAAGATGTATTCACCAATGTAGTCGCGAGCCTTGGTTAAGAATTACGAGTTACTTGAGACCAACAAAAAATAAAATAAAATAAATTACGAGTTACCTTCTAGCTTAACATATTTGTTACTAAGGGTGATGTTTTAAGAGCTTTTATTTGACTTAATATAGTTGTACTTTCTAGTTTTAAAATTTTAAAAACCATTTTTTTTCTTTTTAAAAGTACAAAATAAAATAAAATTTATTTGTTAATATAAAATTTATTTTTATTTTATTTTAAAAATAATTTTTTACAAAATTTAAAAATTAAAAACAAAAACAAAAAAAAAGCCTTTAGTTATTACATTATTGATTCCCTTTTTAAAATTCTTAGTTGCTGCATAATTTGAGTTACCTGACTATTATTTTTGTACTGGTCTTTAAAACTGTTTTAAAAACTATAAAATCGAAACATCGAAAAAAGTTGTTTTCTCTTAGATAAGTTAGGTGTTGGATTCTACTCATACGACGAAAAACATCACACTTAAAGTTTATTTGATAAAGTAAATTTTCATCTTATTTGTTCCATGAAAAGTTTGGACATAATACACACCAATGTTATCACAAAAAAAGAAACAAAGATTGACTGGATCATTGTCTATTAACTACAACTTATACAAAATAGACATAGAAGGGCTAAATAAATAAAATTGATATTTTTTTAATGATTAAAAGTGGATTTAGTACCCAAAAAAATTTGTTCGCGTAAGTGTACGACACATACTTTCTGAAATATTATTTAAAAGTAACAGACTATGTAAAGCCTAACCATAGAGCAAATAGACGAAAACTCTTTTAAAAGTAAAACATCATCTCTACAACTAAATCAATCACTTAAGCTTCTTTGTATGGATTTATTTAACCCTACTAAGACTCAAAGTATAAGTTACAGAAAAATATAGATTAGTTATAATTGAGATATAAGGATATGTCTTTTTTATGTTTTCAAGATATTTTGTAAAAGAGTCCAAAATAAAAATGATATTTGTATAACTACTTTATGAAGTAGTTATGAAAGAGAATTTTAAAATAAAAAAATTGACATATTTTGTAAAAAAATAGTATATCTCATGATTTTTATTCTCTGAGAACTCTTTAACAAAATAGAGTTATGAAACAGAAAAAAAAAATAGAACATTGCATGAAATAGTTAAAACAATTATTTGCAAAAACTTTATTTTTAAGCATTTTTAAAACAATAGTCAATATTGCATGTTACGTTTAAAACAAAATCCTTATCAAACCATTACTAAATAAAATATATTTTTTCTTAGCATAATTTTTTGGTACTAATAAAATATATATTTTAAAAAATACACTAAATAAAATATAAAATTATAAATAACTCATATTAATCTATAGTAAATAAAATCAATAAATTATCAAATTACAATATAATATATGCATAAAATTATAACAAATCTTATTTAAATTTATTGTTTTAATTTTATATATATGTGTATTTATATATATTCTTTTTTTATATATTACTGTAGATAAATGGATTCTATATTATTTATTCCCATAAAATTCTGTAGGTATTTATCCATACTTTGATCCAAACTCATTAATATAAATAATTACTCAACCCATTATGAATTTTATTTTATTTTATTTTTGCAAAAAACTAATAGGCATAAAACCTATTGTCATTCCAAAAATTATACCTTTCTCCATTTTATTTTTCATGTTTAGAATTTTGTACAAGAATTAAGAAAACAATTAATATTTATAATTTAATTTTTTAAAAGTAGTGTATCAGATACAGAATAAGAATTTATACATAATAAATGTTTATTAAAATAACTTAATATTATAAAATTTAATACATTAACGACATTATATTATTCATATTTCTTTTTCTAAGGTAACTTTTTTAGAAGATTTTAACAATCCTTATTATAAGACATTTTATAACTTTTATGGAGCATTTATTATTAATAGTAAATTTGTAAAAACTTAAATTAAAACTAAAAAAAGGTAAAATACTATTAATAATGTTAGGTTCAATAAATTAGATGAAGTTAAAAATTCAATGTGACAATATTTTTAAAACATCAATAAAATCAACTAATTTTATTATTTATTTATTTATATATTTTAGTTAAATGATCTTATAAAAGGACAAAAGAATATTTTTTTAATAATACAAATTGAAAAAAAAATTCAAATTTCATAAAATATTATCTTATAAAAGGGAACAAGAACTTTTTTTTTTATTATTATTAAAACTGATTATTTACTATTTCTTTATCTTTGTACAACTAATTGAGAAAATTTCAAATTTCATAAAACATTATTGTTTTTAATTTCTTATTACACCCTTTATTTATTACATTAATTATTTTACTTATTTATAATTTTTTTTTTTTACCAAAGATATTAGTACCACGAACAAAATTAAAAGCAAACCATTAATTTTTTTCAGTTTAATAAAATAAAAATAAAAACAAACAATACAAAATTATCTAAGTATATAACAGGAAAGAAAACAGAGGTATCTGAAAATGAACATTTTATTGAGCATCCACAGTTGGCTTATCCACAGTTGGCTTCTCCTCAATTCTAGAGTGAAAAAGATTCAGAGAATTAGGTACGCATCCTTTTGGGACGTTAATTTTTTGCAATCTTCAGAATACCAAAAAGATATTTGCTACAACACAGTAAACAAATTGCTCTGTTTTTATTTGAACTCATCATCAAATCTGTATACTCTGGCGTGTGATGTACAACCACGTAGTGCTACCTTTAGTGACCCAAATCTAATACTTAAGAAAAATAATAATTAACGATCAAACCTCAAATCACCAAATAAAAAGGGAACCCATGTTTCATTGATCTTCAAAAATTCCATTTCTTCAACAATCTAGAAAACGTCAGAAATTTATTTTAAAAGGTTACACACCATCAAAGAGGAATCATAAAATGGAATACACCAATAAACTATTATGATAATTCAACTCAACATGGTCACGCAATTTGAGCAATCACTGCCAATTCCAAAACAACTCTATAATGAGAATCCAAAGTAAATCAAAGAGCAAGGAGATTGAAAAACAGATAAATAAAATATTTACAATAAGATCCGATTCAAGAACACTCTTCAATTAGTCTACCGTGTGTTGCATAGCATACAATTCATGATCCTAGACCAAGCTACACGGAGGCGAGGGTACACCCTGCTGGTGTATACTCTTGACTCTCTTGCAAAATCTTCAATGGTTTCTACAAAGAGGTTTAAGTTTCTGATTGGTGGAACATAGAGGATCAAAGGAACAGCAGTGAAAGCCACTGAGAAGAACAGATGCAACATATTTTCGCTTTCCCTGAAATTTTCCCACACCCACCAAACAAAGCCTTGAAAGTTGAAAACTTTAAATCCAGATAGAAAAAAAGGGTATTTGCATGATTTGGGTGAAGTTGTTTTATCTGAGATGTAAAAGGTTCACTAACTTTGAACTCAAGGATGAGGAAGCAGAAAGAGGAGGGTGCCTCGAGGGGTGAGATAAGTATATCAAATAAAGGAGAGAGAGAAAGAAAGATGAAACAAGTTCTGGAAAGTAAACTGCACAAACACCTAAATCCGAAGTGAAGAATATATATATATATACCATCGTCACAGCTAAGGTCCCTACCACAAATGCATAGAAAAGAACATAAAATAATGAATTACTTACAGATAATATTTAACTATTTAAAGTAAAAAATTTAACGATAACAAGTAATTTAACGATCAAATGAGTTTTTTTTAATCTCAATATTTAAAGTTGTATTTAAGTATTTAAAAATAATATATATATTTTTCTAAAAAATATGGTATAAAAATATAATGAATATTTTTATAAAAATTTACTATTATTAATTATTTAAATTTGATTCAGTTTCACCACTAATTATGATATGACTTTCTTTTTTTCAGTTTTCAAAAATAATGTTGGAAGCAATTTTAGGTGGATTTACTCGTTAAATTTTATTTAAAAAGTGTGAAACGACATCTTATGGTTATATTTTGTTTAATTTTTTAATTTCATTTTATTTCTTTAATTAATTAATTTATTAACCAATTAATAATCGCCATTTTGAATTCATATAGATCCGTACTGAAATTATTTATAATATATAGTAATGTTATATAAGGAATTAATAGCATGTTATCGGATATTTAAATCAATATTATTATTATTTTATATAAAAATAATTTGTTATTTGTTATTTTTTATCACTTAGTCAATTATGATGTACATATTTAATCTCTTACTAACATACAAGCATTCTAAATGAGATTTGATATGATCTTATTTAATAAAAAAAATGAAAAAGAATAAAATTATCATATAAAGATAGGCCTTGTCCTTATTAAGATTTTAAGTACCGAAGGACCACGATGTACAATGTTGAGATGAAGAGTGTGTAGCTTAAACATAAATTGACTTGGTTTCTTAATCGCAAAGGTTGTGTTTGGTCTTGAAATAGTAAGATACATCAACGTACCAATAAGTCTTTAATAATTAGAATTTAGAAGCATCATTTAGAGGATCATTGTCTCTGTTATTAAGTAATAAAATTTGATCCATGGATGGTGAGAGTGTCTTGGAACCAAGGAAGCTAGTGTCTTCCAACAATTGTAATGTATATTTGAGCTAAGTTAGTGAATTCCTTTGGAGGATTTTGCTATTTCAAGCCCCAATATTATGACCTTTAACTTGAAGACTGCAACAATAATTTAGTTAGTATCTTTTAGCTGTTTAATATTTGAATCTGTCAAGAGTATATCATCAACATATATTAAGTTGAATGATAGACCAATTCTTCTGTGCTGAAACTATTAAAAGGATTTCACAATGGTTAATTTTGCCACAGGTAAGAAAGTGTTGATAAAGCCAAACCCTACTTATTAAGTGTAGTCTGTAGTTACCAATCAGCTTTATAGTAACTTTGTATGAACACCTATAACCAATCATGTATATTTGCCTCTAGTGCTTAAATTTCTTCATCCATTATTTGTCTCCACTCAGCAAATTCCGTAGTAAGCACAAAGAGGATTGTCCTTCTTTGTAGTTTTGACTTTCAACCCATAAGATGTTTCTCATGCTTAGGTAAGTTGGTGCTCTGCAACGACAGAACTTCCTATTTCATGCTGCTTTTTTCTTGCAAAACCAGGAAAAAAACTTTATTAATTGGTTCCATGAGGAGGATTTGTCCTCTTATTTGGGAGAAAAAGCCAATGAGCCCTATTAACAAAATCATCACATACTCAGTTTGAAGATGATTGAACGTTGCCACAGTTACATGAATGGACATGTCGATGTTCTCTCAAATATAATTTAAAACTAAATCAAATAAAACATTTAAAAATTTTTAGTTAAAATTTATTAATCAAATCTAAAATTTTTCCATGGAAATTATATACTCATTTTCTGAAAAATCCTTCAATTTTTTTTTTCAAAATTTTAGAATATGAACCTTGTAAATAATTTTCATTTCTAAATTTAACATAAATGCAACATTGTTTAAATAAAAAAATAATTTAAATGTTTGAAATTGATAAAAACTGGTAAAGAAAATTGAATGTCACAATTACAAAATGGACTAAATTCAAGTAGCAAAATTAAGAAATTAAAAACATACATTAGTCATGTTATAATCTTTTACATGCTAATATTTATAGTCAATATGAGTTTTTTTTAACGTGTGTTCCATGTTTCATAGCACATAATAAGAACTTGTATATTATAATTTTTTATTAGAAATTATGTAATATCATTAAATTCAATAGATTTATAATATTAAATATTATATTTTTAATAAAAAAATATTATTTATTAATTAGTTATTGTCTATTTTTAGACACAAAAAACCATACTTAATATTTTATAAAAGAAATAATAAAATTTTAAAAAAATATTTGATTGTTTATATAATGTATTTTATTCATTATTTTGGTAGTTACGTGCTGGTAATGAAATATTGGGAAGTTTAATTTTACATTATAAGTTATCTTTTCAAAATTAATAAAAATAAAATAAAATAATATCAGAATAATGTGTATCATTGTCCTTTTCTAAGATAAATTTAAATAAAAGAAGAATTTACACTCCTCAATCAATTTTAAAATCTATTAAAAGAAAGTTATTTTGTAAGAGATTATCTTGGCATTTTTATATACGTACTGAAATTTTATTTGATGGATAAATTACGAGAGAGAAAAAAGTACAATAACTTTTTTATAATGTTTGTTAAACTGCATGCAACAGAGATGACTAAATCTAATATGTTTATCCTATATAATTCAATAGTGTGAACTATTTTCTATTAGGAATTTGAGTTAGAAATATACATGAAAATGATAAAATAATGTGATTAAGTTGTTATTTTAGTACTCAACAAATATAAAAATAAGATAAAATTTATTCTACTTTAATTCTATTATATTTTATTAAACTATCATATTTTATCAATTTTTTCTCTTCTTTTGTTCACAAAATGGACCTTAGACTTTTTCTTATAAGAGTTTCATGTTGCCTTTTCCTTTAAGCTCTTACATTATAGAAGTGTCACATGATATATATATATATATATATATATATATATATATATATATATACATATATACATATATCTCTCTTTTAACTTTTACATTTTAAATTTTTAAAAGTTATTACTTCGTATATTTTTCATTTATTTCGCCTATATGTTTCTTGATTTTTTAAATTTTTATATATCATTATATTTAGTTGTTATTTAAAAAATATTAGAAAAATATTTTTAATAAATAAAATTCTTATTATTTATATATTGAATAGAAAAATATAATAAAATAGTAGTCATTAAATATTTTTCACTCCAATATAAAATTATACTTGTAAGTCTTAAAAATTAATTTCAAAAGAAAATTTATTTAATTTAATTTTTTATATTTTAATAATGAAATGATAATTATATGAATTGGCAATTCTTAACTATTTCAACTTAAAAAATAAAGTGTTTATGCGGTAATAGTAATTAGGGAGCAAAAGGAAAATTATTGTAAATATATATTCTTAATTAAATTTTAAAACTTATAAATAGAAGAGAGTAAAATAAAAACAAAAATTCCCTTTAAACTGTTTTCATTTTCTTTATACGAGACTGGGATTATAAACTAGATTATTAAATATGACAATCTTTTTACTAGAGAACAATATGAATTTGGAAGATATATTATGAATTAATTTATTTACAAGGGTAGGTAAATTGACTTTGTTTTATGTTAAATTATAATTTTGGTTTTTATATTTGACTTTTTTTTTAATTTCAGCAGTTACTTAATTTTAGTTGCAAAAAATATTTTTTCTTTGCAAAAAATTGTAAAGCCCATTATTTTTATTCATTTTTTTTTTAATTTTTGTTGTTCTTAAATACGCATTCATAGTTTTTTCTCAAACAAATTTACATGTATATTTTATTGTATTTAAATATATGTCTTTAATTTTTTTCTATTTTTTAAAAATTTCAATTTTAATTTTAAGAGTCTTAACTTTGAAATTTATCTTTCTTAATATATATTATTAATTATTTAATTTTTTATCCTATACAAAAAAATTATTTTGAAATTATTATAATTTTATTATTATTTTTATCATTTTGATATATATTATTTATAATTATAAAGTCGAACTACATTAATTTTAAAGTCATTATTTCAAATAATTTCATTATATATAATTATTTAAAAACATTAAAATTTATTATTTAATTATTAATTAAAATTATTAAATTTTATTATTAAATTAATATATTTATATTTATATTGATTACTATAATATGAAAGTAAAAAAAATATAATTAAATTTTAACATCACCAAACATGTGAATCAGCTAATAAGAATTATTTTAAGTTAAATTTAAACAAAAATTAAATTTTAATACTTTAACTTTTTAGTAATCTTTCATAAATTTAAATCATATATTAATTTAATATTCTAAATACTTATAGTATTATTATTTCCTTTAAATATTGAAAGATATTACTTTAACTTTTTGGTAGTACTTAAAAAATTTAGATTATACATTAATTTAATATTCTAAATACTTATGATATTATTTCCTTTAAATATTTGAAAGATATAACTTAATTTAATGATCATTTTAATATTATTTGAGAAACTTATTTAATATCATAATTTTGTAATGCTTAAATTAACATTACAAATTTTTTAAAACACAATAAATAATATTCTATTATTATTAAGTAATTTAGAATAAATAATTCTTTAATATATTTTAAATAACTAATAATCCAAAAATAAATTATTTAATATTTTATAAATTCTTATATAGAAAGGAAAGAAAGGAGAAATGCGTAACTGCCTTTAAACCCTAGTTCAGTAGTCCTTAAATTACGAACTCTTCTTCTCTGGAAACTCCGGTGCTGCTCACGCCACTGCCGGTGTAGTCTCGCCGTCGCCGTGGTGCTGTGTTCGTGCCGTCGTCGACCCCAGTTGGAGTGTGTTCGTGCTCTCAGTGTTACCGTTGTTTGCCAGCAGGTATTCATGGATGGCCTTAGTTTTTGGATACTCTGTTTCGCGCTTTTCGTTTCGTGTCTGTGTAATTTTGGTCTAAATTGAACCTTTTTATTTCTTTTCAATATTTGTATAGGTTAAATGGCAATAAATGAGGATACAATCATTGATGATGAAACTGAGGATTTGGGTGGCGAAATGACACCATCTGAATCAGAAACGGAAGAGGATGTGAAATTGATCGAACCATCTAAAAATGCAGTATATAACAGAGATGCTATAATAGATAAACTTGGAGACATTAGTTGGCCAGAGAATGTTGAATGGATACACAAACTGTCCATTGATATTGATCAAGAGCAAGAAGTAGATGTTAATGATGACTTGGCACGAGAGCTTGCGTTTTACACGCAAGCATTGGAGGGAACTAGGCAGATTTTTGAGAAACTTCAGTCAATGGGTCTCCCTTTTCTGCGACCTGCAGACTATTATGCAGAAATGGTGAAGACAGATAACCACATGGAGAAGGTGAAAGGTCGGTTATTAGCTGAGAAGCGAAAGATGGAAGAGGCTGAAGAGCGGAGAAAGGCAAGGGAGGCGAAGAGATTGGCCAAAGAGATTCAGGCTCAGAAATTAAAAGAAAGGGCTAAGCAGAAAAAGGAGGATATTGAATCTGTTAAGAAATGGAGGAAGCAGAGGCAACAAAGTGGGTTTGCTGGCAATGCTGATGATGCAGACATGGGTTTGAACTTTGAGGGTGGAAAAGCATTTGAGAGGTCAAAGAAGAAAAGGCCAGGAGTGTCTCCAGGCGATCGATCAGGAGGGAAGGCAAAGCAAGTCGGTGGAAATGGAAAGAAACAAAAGAAAAAAGATCTTAAGAATTCCAAATTTGGTTTTGGAGGCAAGAAGGGAATGAAGAAGCAGAATACTGCTTATACCACCAATGATTTTAGTGCATTCAATAAGGGTGGTGCTGCAGGAAATAAGAAGAGGAAGAGGTAAAATGATATTTTCTTTGACATGTTTTGAGGGAGTTATGTCATGGAATGTGTCAAGGGCTGTATTTGAGGAGTTTTCATTTACTCTCTTAATTTGATCTTTTGCATGGTCTTATGGTGATTAGATAAACTTTATCAATGTTATTAATTATTAAATATCTACTCCAATCTTTTATGCTTTGTTAAATGATTTGCTGCTTTATGTTTGTCCATTGCTAATTATTGAGTAAAGCAGATTAAGGGAAAACATATTTGGAGGTCTCTTTTCTTTATTTATTTACTTTTTCTATTGTTTATCTTAAAGAGACTAATATCGGTCTTTGCTTTGAGACAAAGAAATAATGTAAAAATATCAAACTAAGATTGTCCTGCCATATGGATTTCATACCTGTTGTTTATTTCCTGCGGTGCGGCATCCTCTGCATGAGCTCCTCCCCAAAATGGTTGAAAGTGATGGTGACTTGCATCCTCGGTTTTGGAGGTAGTCATTGTTGTGTGACCAATAGTAAGGGAATCTGATTATCGTTGTACTTTGTATAACCTCCTTCCATTCCTTTGTATAACTTCCAATATACATTATAAATAGGTTGTATTCCTTATCAGAATCACATCTATATGACCCAGCTTCCTATTTATGACAACTGGCTAGCTTCTATTCCTCACTATTACAAAACCTTATGTATGTTTTGTAGAGTCATTTAAACCAATATCTCCTAGCCACTACTGACTCTCGTCATTGTGTTACACTAAAGAGCTCTACGATACCTCAACGCCTCCCCAAGTGGTCTCTTTTTCCCCCTTAACCTTAGGTGCAAGCCCAAAGGGTTTTACAATGGATTGAAGAGCATGCCTTGACTCTAAGCAGGACATCACTGGATTTTTCTTCTTCTTTGGCTTTGGCACCTCCCTCAGCTTTTGGTGCAGTAAGAAGCATTTATGGTATTACGGTCTTCTTTAGAAGCAAAGTATCATGCACTTGCATAAGTCACATGTGAAGCACAATGGCTAACTTATGTCTTACAGGAATTAAATTTCATTGACTTCGTCTCTAGCAAGTATTTATTATGACAACTACAACTAGGCAACCCTTCACATAGCAACTAATCCGTGTTTCATGAACAAATGAAACAGAGAGAGCAAGACTACCAAGTCATTTAAGCAAATATCGAGATATAGTGATTCATTTGTTGTATTTCTCATAATCTTCTCAATTCACTCACATTCTAACGAAGCAATAATTTGTTGGACCTTTTCATCAATTACACTCCCACTTGGAATCACCATCCTCCACATTCCAACTTCTACGGGGTGTTGCCTACCACAATGGAGCTATCTTGGAACTAGTTGATTGAAAATCAATTATTGTATTAACTCTTGTCCTATTTAAAAGAAGGGTTTTGTTATCCTTATTGAACTTTAGGGCTGAGTTTAAACATTTATAAATAAAAAAAATTTATGAAAAAAGTATATAGCTATTGGATTAAAGTTATAAAAATACAATAAATTTTTTTTTTCTAATAAAATTTTACTATTATTAACAGTTTATTATGTAAGGACTGAAGTTAACAAAGTCTTTAAAAGAAATAACTATTAATTTTTCTTTTGTCTTAAATACAAGAAATAATTTTTTTTTAGATATATTAATTATTAAGTTATTTTTATACTCTTATTTATTGTAAGATATGTTACTTAAGTAATCATCCTTTATCTATAATAAGTGGATATATTTATTATTTAATATAAAACAAACTAATTTTACATTTAATATTATGAGCGTTTCTAGAATAGAGTATGAATTTAATATATATAACTATTTTTCGTTTGTATGAAGGAATTGGGTATTTATTTTTTATAAATAAGACTGGATGTAGTAGTTACTAGTTAATTAGATAGTTATGTTGCATAAAAAAAAAAAAAAAACTCATGCCACAACATAATAAAGCGGATTTTGCTTGCTTTCTTTCTTTCTTTGAGTCACTCAATCGTTCATTTTTGTCTCTCACATTTTTTCGGATGCTAGAAGTTAATTTGATAACTCGTCTATACACTTATGTCGAGAAAATCTATCATAATAAACACCTGTAAATGTAGATAAATAAAGATGACACAAGAGCACGACGAATGAACAAAATAATGAGTCAAAATAATTTGTTGACAATTTCTTGCGGACTAAATGATTGAGAGGATTGGAGTTGGGGACATTTATTTCAAGGTTTGTTTTATATTTTCAAGAATGACATTCTCAATATACTTTGACCATTGATGTCATTATCGAGTAAATTTATAAATATATTTAATTAGAATTTAATATTTGTCAGAATAATTTTGAAATTCAAGTAATAGTGACACAATAAGTTTCTACCACACTACATGGTAGTGTTTAATATTCTCACAAGAACATAACTTAACTAGCTCTCACTGTAAAAATAAAAATAAATAAAATTATGGTAAGATCACTTTTTCTTGAAATCAATTATGTTGCTAAATGTGAACGTAGTTAAACTTATTAACTTCTATACTGTAAGGCCTAGTCAATTTTGTTTTCAGTAAAAATATTTTTAGGAGTTACTTTTATTTTTATTAAGTCATATGATTTCTAAAATTTGTTTTTAATTTAAATTTTAACATGCTATATTAAATTAAAGATATTTGAATTCTAATATTATTGTAATTTAAATTTAATTTTAAAATTTAAGTTTACCGCATTATATTAATAAAAATAATGTTCTTGATTTCTTTTTTCTGAAATGTTCTTGATTATTAATACTATATATTTTAATAAATATTGATAAAATTAAGTAAATGATACATGATGCAAATAAGTAATTTAAAATATAAATTTTGATAAAAATAATTAAATAACACGAAGAAATCTAAATTCTTTAGAGATGTTTTAAAATTAACCTTTAATATATATTTTATTATGAATTAAAAATGAGTTATTGGTGATATTCTACTTTACAAATTTTTTAACATGTTTTTTTATTAAAATTAATAAGATATTACACAATTTAATGCATTAATAATATTAAAATTTATAATTTATATTTTTTATTTTTGAAACGGACGTTAAAAAATATGATTATTTAATTTTAAAACTTTAAACTCAACAATTGTTTTCCCTGTTATCAAAGCAATTGATAGGAAATTACTGAATGAACTTCAACGTGCTTCTCCACAGCAAGTTAAAGACACTCCATTTTCTAGTTTTCAAATCCTTTCTTTTTCCATTTTTCCCTCACTTTCCCGGGAAAATGCCGCGGAAACGCAACAAGGCTCTCGTTCCAGGCGTACTGTGGCGCCTGTTCCACCATCGAGCACGAACCCTCTTAGACACCATCATATCCTTGCTTCCTTCTCCGCCGCCGTCGCCGGAGATTTGCCGCTGCCACGGCCGCCGTTGCCTTGGCTGCAGCCTCGACGCCAGGACCTTCCTCCTCCGACCAGATGATCCCTCTGATTACCGCAGACTCCTTGCAAAATGCTACATCGTCGTTTCCGAAAACGCACCTTCAATCACGTCCTTCAACCCACACTTCGGCTCGCGCCAAGATCAGGTATTGTTTAAAAATTATGCCGCATCATTTTTCTTTTTTAAACACTTCATCGGAATAAACGTTTTGCATTTTGAAGGAGAGCAAAGAGGCTTCAGATATTTGATTAGATGTATGATTGGTATAGTTTTCTATTTTCTTCTTTTCATGACAGTTGGTTTTTTATTTGAAAAGTTTTCGTCAGGAAGTGGAAAAAAGTAGTTAATGTTTTTGAAAACAAACTAACAAACAGTCAAATAGATACTAGGGGTGTAACCAAACCGTTTTAAACCACTAAACTGATCCGAAGAAATTAATAATCGAATAAACTGAACACGAACAACTGAAAACCAGAAAATTTATATTTTCTTATGCGGTTTGGTTCTCTCATATTCAAAACCGAACCAAACTGCAAACATACTTAATTCATATTAATTCTTTTATTCTGTTATTATAAAAACACTGTCTTAGAGTATATTTGTATTTTGTTAAAAAAATGAGTTTATTTTGACTTGTGATTTGTAGTTTTGACTAAGTTATGATTTATAATATGAGATTTAATATATATATATATAAGGGCTCTCACATAAATTTTTATACTCGATTTGAATCTTTCATTTACTTATATTTAACTTACATGTAAGTAAAATAAAAGACTTGATTCGAGGGTAAGAGTTTTAAACTTAAATTAATATGAGAAGATCTTTTTATATATATATATATATTTTTTTTTTTTCTTCCATATTTATCATATGTTTAGCTTTTTCTATACTAATCGCTGTCTCTTAAATAAAAAAATTATACATCGGTATAAGACTTAATTTATACTCTAGTTATTTAAATTCTATTTGTTGCCAAGGAAAAAATTTAAATATTATCGCTTAGAAAAATTAGCCGAAAACTGAAATAATCGATCCAATTCAAACTGCAAAAGATTGATTTGGTTTCATTTGATTTTTATATTATTTTCAAACTGATCCAAACCAAACCGCAAGTTTATTTTATAATTGGTTCAAATGACTTTTTACCTCAAAAACTGATACAAACCTACCGCTGTAGGATAAACATTCTGTTTAATTATATATTTTTGTCTTTTCATGAAATGCAAAGGCTTTTTCTTTTTGTTTTTTTCTTACCTTAGACCTAAGTTTTATAGCTTAAGAAGTGTTTTAGATTTTTTAATTGTTACGTTAAAGTAGATGCAAAAAGAGTAAAACTTTGTTTAAGTTGGAAAATCAAGGTAAGTGTTAGTAAAGGCAGGACTAAAATGATCAATGCATACAATATTGGAGACTCAAGTGAGGGTTTACTTGTTGCAAAAGAAAAAAATGCAAATTAACAGTCCTATGTTTGGATCATCTGCATCTTAGCTTTTGAATTTTAAAATCATGTATCTTGTCTTCTAAGGTTTTTAACATGTGTTGACTAACTCTTCTGTTAATTTATTTCAAAAATTACCCCTAAAATGCTAGTTAGCACCTGGAAATTTAAATTAGGTGCAATTTAGTCCTTGATCTCTTGAAATCTCATGTGATTCAAGAACTGAATTGCACGTGTTCAAACTTTAGGAGTACTAATTGCATTTTTTAAAAAGGTTATTTTGGAAATAAATTAACAGAAAAATTATTTTAGACATATTGAAAACCTTGTCAATCGAATTGCAGCTATTGGATATATAGGGACTAAGTAGCAAGCACGTGACCTAAATCTCAGGTGCTGATTTGCATTTTTTCCAGACAAAAATGTCGGTGTTTATTCTTTTCTTTTCTTGTTCCGGAGTTTGGGTTTTAGGTTGAATCCTTGATAAAGGTTTAGGAACGTGTTAGGATTCCAATTGAAAGTTACGAGACTTGAGTTCTATATTGGAAGTATGAGATTCTAGTTTGAGGTTTACTAGGCTTTGGACACTTCAACTACAATAGTTAGCTTTTGTGGTTGTGGTTTTTTCAAGGTTTTTATCATTTGATATCAGAGTCTTTCACCATGTCTCTCAGCTGCTATCAAAGGTGGTTACACTTACACCAACATTATAGTGTTCACCTGTTACTAGTCAAGAGGCTAGTGTACTGCTAGTTCGCATGGGTGTCAGGGCTGCGGAGTGTGGTGGTATGTTACGAAATCAATTGCATGGTGTGAGACTTGAGTCCTACATTGGAAGTACGAGATTCTAGTCTGGAGTTTATAAGGTCTTAAACTTTCCAACTACAGTGACTAACTTTTGTAGTGGGATTCTCTTAAGGTTCTTAACAGAATGCTAATATTGCCTTTCAGATTGTGAAGAGGACCGTTGAACAAATGCTGCATCAAAGGCAACCAGCCTTTTCCAATGTGTTGTGCTCTGGATATGATAGGGTAATAAGCTTCTTCTCTTCTTTTCTTCTTTGGTTTTTCCTTTTTCTTTGGGGCATTGTTCTTCTAGTTGATTCTATTGCTGAGTTTTCATTATAAGGGTATTCTTAATGTTGGGGCATTTTCTTTTTGTATGCATCATGAGTTTATGTCTTGCATTTGACAATTTTGTTCTTATGCAGAGTAAATGTTCCAGCCCCATTGTGGAGCTTTTATCCTGTTCATCGTGGTGTCTCTTGTTAAGTAGGGTATGCGATGACATCAAAATCTTTTAATATATTTATTTATATGAAGCTAGCTTTTTTATTCTTTATTGTTTTTCTTTTAGTGATGATATCACTTTTCTTATAACTTTACTTATCAAAATTTGCATCCATGCAGGTTGGAGATGATTTTATGGTTTACCTACTAAGGAACACATCAATATTCTTACCAGTTCCCCATGGAAAACACCACCAGGTGGGAGGTCCTCCAATCAGTCGCCTATGCTTTGATATGTTGAAGTGTTTGCCAAAGTTTGGCTATCAGCATTCTTCACTTCATAAATGTGGTAATAAGAAGCGTCCAATTATCATACTACAATCTTAGTAAACATATTAACTGTAACATTATGGGCTCTCTGAAGTTCGCTGCTGTTATTGCTGTAAAATACATGCATCTTAAAGCACCTACATGCATGTTTAAAATTAAATTCATCCTGTTTCTTTAGGCAATTGAGGTCTTGTTATTCATTTAGACTTCTAATCCTATGTTCAATTTGATATAGTGCCAGACTGTTGATCAATACTATAATCTTAAAATTAAAGGTAGTCATTAAAATTCTTAGAAGATCTAAATGCAAGCTGCTACATTTGAGAGATCGATAACTGTTGTCATATGTGCTGTATTTCAGTGATTGGACATGAAACAACGAACCTTTTATTATTAGTCTTATGTTCTCTCAAATTACTTTTTTATTTGATCTTCCTCTTCTTCACTCTTGGTTGTTTTTCCCGACTCATATTGTGACTCTCCTGTGTCTTCTTTCCTGACAAATTAATTGTGTCGTCTGTTAGAGCAATGTTACATATTGAGAATATCCTTTTGCATCTTTGCTATCAGTGAAATGTTACAATAATGGGTTCTATTTGCAGCAGGAGCTCAAAAGAGAAAAAGAGCTGATGTTGATGACTTACCTGTAGAGAAACAAAAGTGCCATATTTCACACAGTAACAATAGTCCTCTGGCCTTTTCAAGTAGTCTTGGCTTAATCTGTCAGTCTTCAATGCAACTGAGCAGGCACCAAGGGAGCAGGAATTATGATGTTAGCATCTCTGAAGATCGTAAGTTAACAAGAACTGGAACTGTTACAAGGAAGTTGGAGTCAGAAGGGAAACAAGGCCCGAATTGTAATACACCTAAGCTTGGAAAGCGTTCTAGGCCATTTAGTTGGCAGCGGCGAAGGTACAAAAAGCAGAAGGAATTAACCTATGAAGAAAACAGTCTAAATACACATTGCAATATGCTTCCTACTAATACAGATTGCTTGCATGCTAGTTTTCAGCGTGACAACACCAGAAGCTATGATGCAAAGGTGATCAATTGTTTCTATGAAATATCATAGAATGCAACTCACAAACTTTTGTCTAAAATTTTATTAGATTCTTTTATGTATCAAACTTGTAGTCATCATGTCCACACATTTATAGCTAACATCAATCATAAATACTTGTAACTGGTAAGATTTGGTGTAACACCCTTTGGATTATAGATAATTCTTAAAGAAATTGGTAAGCTATTTTACTTTCTTTTAGATTTAGCGCATAGTGGAATGGTATTTACCATAAATTATGGAAAAGTGGTATATGATGGAAAGATAGAGTGATTTAAACCTTTGGAAACATCTGATTGTAATTTTATATTGTAGGAAATACCATCTAAGCTATTTCCACTATATTTGACCACTTCCATTTTTACTTTTTAAATTTGGTTTTCAGTGTTGATGGAATCATGTGATACTGTTATGAAATGTCATGGTAGTTCAGATTGTCTGCTTCCAATTATCACTTGCATGATAACTTACAAGTGAGGTTTGGGATAAAATAGTAATTCTCAAGAGCCAGAATTTGGTGTGCATGTAGTAATTTGCACTGTGGTTGAACCCAGGTTCTCAAAGTAGCTTGCTAATCAATATGATAAACAATGCAATAAATGCTGAGAAAGTTGGCATTATCAACGATGGGCACTAATTTCAATCTTCATAAACAATAATTTGTAATTTTTCAATTTCGATTTGGTGGAATAAATTATCTTGCAGATATAATTGTTTGTCTTACTTTCACATCTTCTTTATATGTTGGTTAACTACAGATGTTGCGGCAATGTTCTTGCTGTTTAATCTTGCAATCAGTTCCAACTGTTCCTAAGAGGACTGATATCAAAAGGCTATCCATTTTTTATAACCTGGAGTCTTCATGTTCAGTTCTTCCAAAGAAACGTATCCACGAATGAGTTTTCGAACAGATGTTGTACATGTCCCTTCTTGAAATGGGATTTTTTGGTTCCCTTTGATACTTTACATGGAATTACTCCTATGTGTACAAGCTCACGAAACAATTTGTTTCAGGAGTTCTTTCAGAATCACTTGCTTGAAGTTGCTGAGAGACATTATTTTTCCTGAGTGTTATTATAATGTCATAAGGGACTATTGCATTCTATGTTCTTTATTATTCATTTCCTTCACATATTATCTTCAGATATTTTATATTCCTTAAGGCCAAATTTGGCTTCTTCGAAGTATCTCATTGGCAATATTTTTGGCTTCTCAGACGTAAATCCCAGTGCCCAGCCAATGCCTTGTTTGCACAGAAGTGGTTCATGTCTCATTAACTTTGGATGCCTGTAAGTTCAAGAAGGCCCTTTTAATTACAGTGCATTCTTAAATGTGAATGTTGTTACACTTTTAAGTTAATTATTGATTATTGACAAGGTCCCAAGTTCATACCATGTATTTTGTGCTCATAATGTATTTGAAGTTCATTTAAATCTGCTATCCTATTTATCTTTCAATTTTGGAGCTTGAACTTCATGATGCTGCTGGAATGATTTAAAACACTTCCTACTATTGTTTCAGAAGATGCTATGATTTCAATATTTTTACTATATAAGTTGACCAGGAAAGTAGTGGCTGGAACCTGGAAGTTGTCATTGGCTCAAAGGGCACGGTTTCAGCCAAATAAGCTTTTAGAAAGTTCATTGATTGCTGCCTAACTGTAAATCCTGAATGATACTCAGGCCAGGGAAGAAATGAAATAGAGAAAGCTTATTGAATGACTGTGCCCCTTTAGAACTCTTAAAGATTCTAATTCCTAGTATGATTCCTTGTACATAAAAATGAAATGTGTAAATATACTTGGTGTAGAAGGGAGAGGTGGAGGAATTAAAAAATCAATCTCAAAATCATTCAAATTCTTACTAATTGAATTCAATGACGAAGCTCAATTCTCTAAAACAGATAAGAAGCCTTCTATTGGCCTTAGTATTCAAAATCAATGATGAAGCTTGTATTTGTTGTAAGTTATAATGATTTTAATACTTTTGCAGGTATCACTCTCTTGTTAAGTGGTTTAAGCATCTCATTTGTAGGACACGGTGTTGCCAGCATACAGAGCTCTTGTATAAGCATTGTGTTGTTCCATCATTGGATCAACATATGATTGGAAGATCTAGCTCCAGGCTTAAGGTTTTTTCTTCCTTGTTCCCTTTGGGATATTAAAATATTTACTATATTGGTTGGTTCAAGAAGTTCCCATGTTGGTGAGGTTTCATAAAGCTATCCCTAGTGTTGAATTTGGCTTTAAGTCTAACTCAACCCCAAAAGCTGATAAGGTGATTAAACATCTAGAGTGTGGAAATTGTAGGATTTTAAATATAGTATTGGATAAGCTGGCTGGACTAGGTAGGTAGCACTGGGCTTTCACGGGACCAGGTAAGTTGCACTGGAAAATCCACGGGACTAGGTTAATTTCACTGAGAAAATTCGTGGGGCCAATTTTTTTTTTTTAAGTCAAGGGTGGCCCAAACTAAACTTACGATAGGCTTTGATATCATGTTGAATTTGAGCTTTAAGTCTAATTCAACCTCAAAAGCTGCTTGTAAAGTGAGAATTTCTTTAACCTTTATAAGTTCTTATTTAGCTATATCTATAGTTGATGTGGGACTTCAACAACTAGAATTCCTTGTCTTTTTATTTTGTGCGTAGATACATTTTTGGGTTGATGATGATTGTTGAGATTTGAGACATACAAAGTTTAAAGCACTACTTATCTTTTACTTTATAATTATAATGCAATTATTTTTCCATCTACAAACAAATATTTGGTCCTTATCAAAACCCATTTTTACTGCAGGACAGTGCATTAGAGACAAAAGTGCACAAGAAATCTCAAGAATGTGGTACTAGACATTGTGCAGATACTGTGGAAACAATAGATTCACAGTGTGAGGCAGTTAAGTCATACTGCTCAAAAGGTCAAGTGGTATCTTTCATTTGGGCTGTATGTAGAAGTTTACTTCCTTCTGAATTACTGGGTACTCCTTCTAATTGGAGAATAATGAGGAGAAATATTTCCAAGTTCATAAATTTGCGTCGATTTGAGAAATTCCCTTTAAGGCTATGTATGCATGAACTGAAAACATCGAGGTTTCCTTTCCTAACAAATAAATATTTCTTGAATAGCCAAAATGCTTGTGTTCTAAAGTATATAGAAGGGCAAAATAAAGAATTCAGAAGTTGGAATGATGCTGTATATGGTGTCAAACGTAAGCTTTTGGAGAAGTGGATCTTCTGGTATTTCTCTTGTCTGGTTGTACCTTTGGTACAAGCAAACTTCTATGTAACTGAAAGTGATCAAGGGAAACAAGATATTTACTATTATCCAAAACCAGTTTGGGAGAAGTTGGCCGATAGCACCATTGCTTGCTTCAAAGACTGGAGATACAGTTACCTGGATGATGTGGCTGTACATAATATTCTTAAAGGCAGACCATTTGGGTTTTCAAAGCTTAGACTTCAACCAAAAGAAAATGGAGTTAGGATGGTTGCAAATCTGAAAGGTTCTTCTAGAATGCCATTACGTGTGTCCACTACAGGAGTTCAATATTGCAAAACAGATAGGGAAGTGAAACACCAGAAAATCAAGGGGGAACATTATCAGTCTGTGAATTCTGTTCTTCGTGATGCCCATACTATTCTAAAAGGAATTCTGTTCAAGGAGCCTGAGAAGTTAGGTTCTTCCGTGTTTGACTACAATGATGTTTACAAAAAATTGTGCGCATTTTTGGTTGGCATAAAGAAGCGATCAGGATCTATGCCTGGTTTTTTCGTTGTCACATCCGATGTGTTGAAAGCATTTGATTCTGTTGATCAGGACAAGCTGCTTGGCTTAATGGAAAATGTTATACTGAAAGATGAATATATTCTTAAACAGTATGATCAAGTTGTTTGCACAAAGAAATCTCTGTGGGTTCAAAAGCAATTTAGAATGCTGGATGGAAGTAGCAACATTGGCCGTACACGATTCACTTCCTTTGCTTCCTTTCATTCCCGACATGCTGTCTTTGTTGACCAGGTATCAGTTTTCATAGGAGAAAGTCATCAGGGAGTGTATATATATACATTCTGTCATCATCTTTCCTGTTTCACTTTGGGTCATAATAAGTTTACATATTCAAGTATAAATGTGTCTTGCTGTTTTGATCTCTCTCTTTCTCTTATGTGATATGTGATTTACATTTTTGAAATTTATCTTCATGATTAAGTGGACTTAATGGTAACAAGTTAAATAAAAGAAGTAAATTAAGAGCCTATTGTTCTAATGACAACTCATCCATCGTTAACAACAACATGAAGGGGGAAATATTGTACATATACCTTCATGGTACATGATTATTTTGGGACTATGGAATGTTAGGTATCCTATATTTTGCTCAATTTAACCTTATATAATGTTCAGGGGCGGTGGAAGCAGGTGAAAAAGAAAGTGCTGTTTTCATATCTTATGGAGCATGTGAAGCACAATGTGTTACAATTTGATGGAAAATTTTACTTGCAAGATGTTGGTATTCCCCAGGGAGGGGTTTTGTCTTCCTTGCTTTGCTCCATATATTATGGACACTTGGAGACACACACAATATTTCCATTTCTTGAAAAAACACTTAAATCTGGCAGTTGCAAGGAGAATAATGCTGAGCACACCAACTTCTATGATGAAGTCTCATCTCCTTGTTACATGCTAATGCGATTCATTGATGATTTTCTTTTCATATCAACCTCAAAGAAGCAGGCAGCTAGCTTTTTTTCCAGGCTACAAAGAGGATTTCGTGGTTACAACTGCTACATGAATGAGAAAAAGTTTGGTGCAAACTTTGATGTAGAACAGATATCAGGATCCCCATTGAACAGGGTTTATGTGGGTGAAGATGATGCTACTTCCTTTCTTAGATGGAGTGGTCTTCTTATCAATTGCTCCACTATGGAAATTCAGGCTGACTACATGAAGTAAATTTTCATTCAAATTGATTGATCTAATTGGCATGTAATGTGTATTCTTGTTATTAGCATGTTTGATAGATACACATTTGCTGTGTTCATTGATCATTGATACTCAAGTGTGCAGTTTCAAAGTTTTATAAAATTTTCTTGATTTTATTACAATAATGTATCAAATTGATAACAAAGTCATTTTTCAGAAGATGGAAAACATGTAGCAGATAATTTTCAGCCTGCTTTTGTTGTTTTGGTAATCACATTGTTTTCTTGAAGTGAACAGTTTAAAGTTCAGGGGCTTAGTGATTCAATGTTTCTCAGTACTGTGAATGAAGATTATTCTCACACTAAAAGGGTGTGAGAAACTGAGAATACCTCATAACATCAAGTAACAAAAGGAGAGAACCATTCAATATTAAATTATAGTGGCAATCCTATTCCTCCTGTAAAATCATCAAAAAAGAAAGAAACATAAACAAACAGCTCTCCACTATGTTAGGGCTGTTCAAATATAATGTGAGAGTATTTTATGTGATTTTTTTATTGAGAATTTCACAGGTTATGACTTTTGCATTGATATTCTGTTGATCTGTTCTTTTTGTGAATGGGGGACCTTGGGGGGGGGGGGGGGTAGGGGTTGAATAGATTCAACTTTGGGATGGGATTAATTTGAGAAGTATACAGACTCTCCCATATCCTGCGACTATGGTTTGGTAGTTGAAATGTTCATTCTTGATTTTAAGATAAAATTGTCTCAGACAAATTTCTGCTCCTACTTGTTCAGGTGCAGGATGTTCGTTAGATTGTTTACCTTTAATCATTATTGGAACTTCACTTTATTTAATGTATGTTGTGAGACTCTGAAAGCTATTTTGGGTTAAGAATTATTCATAATGTGAATCATTTGGTTCTTTTATTGAAATAAATAGTTCCATATGCCTAACAGGTACTTGAATAACCATTTAAGTTCAACACTCACTGTTTGCTGGCAAGGTAAACCAGGCATTCATCTGAAGGAGAAGTTGCGTCTCTTTCTAAGACCTAAATGCCATCCTATATTCTTTGATTCAAATATAAATTCAGCAGCTGTTGTCAGATTAAATGTTTATCAAGTGTTTTTGTTATGTGCGATGAAGTTTCATTGTTATATTCGGGATCTATCAGTCATCTGCAAATTTCCCAAAAGATATTGTGCAGATATTATTCTGGAATCTTTGAGGTATGGATGTGATATTATTATGTTGCTGTTGAATTGGTATTAAGACTTCCATTTCTCACCTTTGATTTGATTGACTTTTCTTATTAAACCAATGCTATTTGTAGGTTCTCAATCAAATGATTCTTTTCTTTCTGAATACTTCAATTCTATGAATTATAACCATTAGTCAATTATGTTTTCTTTCATGATCATCTGCCAGATATATGCACCTGCTGATAAAGAAAAGGATGCATTCAATGCGTCTTAATTCAGATGTGCAGCCCATTCTTAAATTGGAGAAGAAAGAAGTGGAATGGCTTGGGTTTCATGCTTACATACAAGTACTAAAGAGAAAGGAATCACGTCATAAGGTGTTATTGGCAGTTTTGAGGTCAAGGTTGTTATCACATAGAATGTCTGGTAGATTGTCACCTGAACTGAAGTATGCGATTAACACCAAAAACTCCTCTTTGCTTTGGGACATCAAGTATTAGTTCCTAAAGGTTAGTTCTGATGATTGTAGTTCTTTTTTTGTAAATGTTGTGGCAAGTTTCTTCTACCTGTGGGGTGATCAAGAGTCTAGGTAGTTTTGTAAACTTGTCTCCATATTTGGATTAAATCAGTTTACAAGAGTGTAACCCAACCTTTATCAGGTACACTGTCAAGCCAATTGAACTCAACCCGACCATCACCCTCGTTTTTTTCATTTTTATTCTTTTAATAAATTTTGATTTTTTAGAACAATGTTATTTATTTATTTTTTTACTTTGAAATTTCATCCTTTTTATTTTTAAATTTTTATTTTGGTTTTTAAATTTTTATATAAATGTAAATGTGGAACCAATAAGCTAACCTGACTTGAATTTCATTGGGTATGTTCTGGTTAGGTTAGTAAAAATATTTTTTAACACCCAATCCTACCCGAGCTTAGAGCTAGTTTTTTCGAACATTTTCCCCCCGACCCCTCGTACAACCTTTCGTATTCTCACCTACACGGTGGGGAATATTGAATTGTTTTACAAAATTACGTAAAAGTATAATCACTAATTATGTAAACAAAATTATTGCAAAAATAAGTAACTTTTGTCCAAAAAAAGCTTGTAATATTTTTCATTCCCTATGATTTTCTTTTGTATGGAAGGAAAATATGCTCGTACAAAAAAGTTGAGGTAAAGTTGAACACCTTAGCAGCAATTTGAATATTATTAGTAACTAAGTTTATAAAAAAGGAAAAAATAAAACCGATACGTACTGAAAATTATTACTTTCAAAATGTCACTTCATGCAGGTGAGAGACAATCCTTCTCCAACATGATAGCGTGATTTTTCAATTGTGTTCTGAATCTACGGTTATGTGAAACGCTGAGTGGTAAAGGTGATTATTATATATTAGGGAGAGTTCATGTCATGTCAAATTCAACAGACAGACAAAAGGGAGATAAGAGTGGTATAGTTCAATAGATGTTGAAGACTTACATGTTTTACCAAACATTCTTTTGTTTTCTAGTTACATATCAGATGCAAATGCTTCTATGGTAACCTTGTAATCTTTTGTAAATGGGAAATAAGGAACAGTAAGCAGCTTCAGAGTTTAACATGGCTAGATCGGCATCCACTGGTGAAAGCGAAAATTCAGTATATGATGTAATGATAATCACAGGATAGATATTGAATGCTGGATGCATAATCATGGTACAGTCATGAAATATCGTTGTCTTGTCAAACATCAGTTAAGCCCTGTCAATACTTCTGAGCTTCATGTTAAGTGTTAAATAAGACATAGTAGTAACTAAACCTTGCACATGGATTCAATGCCAATTTTTATGGAAAAGTTTCATGGAATCAATGTGGAAGGAACTAGAAGGTACTGGAAGAAAACGGAGATATGTAAAATGATTGTCACACTAAAGCATACCGCGTTCCCTTGAGTTTGTGCAAAATCAAAGTAACTAATGAAATATACTCCAGTTTTGGAATAGATTTATGAAAGATGATTAGAATACAATGAATGAGATTCTCGAGTTTTTAAACTGAACCAAGTGTGTATTCTTTGAAGAGTGAGAAAGAGAATTTCAGACTCTAGCTTAGAAAGAAAAGATGAAGTACTTCTGATGGATTCTTTTAAGAGGATCACTTGGGTCCTTTGGTCATGTGGCTTACGAGATCTTAATTGCTCTTTCTATATGAAGAACATGCTGTTCTAGGTGAGAAGGATTCTCATGAGAGGTCATTTGCATGAAGAACGGTGGTCTCTAAAGGGAATGAAAACATAGTGGGAAAAATGTTAAAATAATAATAATAAAAAAAAACTTGGAGCAAGACCGGCTGCACTTACATGCTGGTGCCCCTCTCTTTTATGTATTGCATTCTTTTTTTATAGCTTATAGTGTCCCACATGAATAAGAACAGGTTTAACCATATTTAATGTTCCTTGGAGGTGATGGTGTAGCTGTTATAGGCAATTATAAGTAGGGGTTATTTTTGTAAATTCTATTGTGTGGATACCCTATATATAGATGTTCACAACATAATTTAAGGCATGCAATAACAAAACTTTCTGCACTATCATTCTCTTGTAATTCAAACCAAATCGATAAAGTGTTTCGTGTTCCATTCCAATTCTTGGAATCTCTATTATCCAAGTTCTTCGTTTCTCTAGATTCCTAGAACTGCTATGACAAGAGGTATCAGACTGTTACGTTCCAATTGCTTCATCAATGGCAGATTCAACACGCAATCGAGTGGTAGAACGCAACTTGGAGGATCGTTTGGAAACACGTCTTAGCTTGAAAATTGACACTAAATTCATGGACCTCGCAAATACGATGCAACAATCACTGCATCATTGACTCAATCTTTGGGTCAATTTTTGTCTCAATAACTTCATGAACAGTAGCAAGATCTTCGCAAGAATCAAAATCTTGGGTCAACTCACTTGCCCCATTCTGGACATCCAAGTCGGGGTGAAAAATATTCTGCTTATTCTTGTAACACCCGATTGGCTAGGCTAGAATTTCCAAGATTTAATGGCGATGCTGTGAAACAATGGATCCTGCAATGTGAGACTTTTTTCTCAATTGACAATACCCCGGATGATTACAAAGTACGTTTGGCTGTTGTTCATTTCGAGGGAAGAGCACTTCAATGGCACAGTGCTTATGTTAAAACCATCGGATTATCCAATTTACCTTCTTGGTCAGAGTACACTAGTCTTTTGGTTGACAAGTTTGGCGACGTTTGTGATGATCCTATGGCAGAATTAATGAAACTACGACAACAAGGGTCAGTTACAGATTATCATGAGGCATTTGATTTTATTGTTGCTCGGCTGAGTTTACCTGCTGAACACAAACTGAGTTGTTTCCTTGGAGGGTTAAAATAAGAGGTTCAAATGATGGTACGCATGTTTCAACCTGATTCTGTGCAGAGAGCATTTTCCTTAGTTAAACTATATGAAGCCAGTACCAATTCCACCACAGTCTCAAAACCATTTTCTAAGCCATTTAAACCTATCCTTGCCAATAAATCCCCTATACTGCCTAACCCACCCAAATCTTCGAACACCTTCAAACCTAAACCACAAGTTACAAAAAGCCTTACCCCAGCTTATATGAATGAGCAACGTGCCAAGGGATTATGCTACTTTTGTGATGAACCCTTCACTATAGAACATAGTCTAATCCACAAAAAATTACAAATTCATGTTCTGGAAGTTAAAGAAATGACAGAAACCTTGGATGATTTGTCCCTTGCTGCAGAAATTGTGGAGCATGACACTGCTGACCCTGTAATATCGGTGAATGCTATGACTAGTCTAACTAGCTTTAAGACTATGAGAATCACTGGTTATGTTGGCAAGAAACCTTTTCATGTGCTCATTAATAGTGGTAGCACTCATAACTTCTTGGACATTGAAGTAGCTAAGAAGCTTGGCTGTAAAGTTTCTCCAGTGCAGCCTCTGAATGTCACAGTTGCGGATGGCACTAAAGTTACAGTCTCTTATAAGATTACAGGATTCTCTTGGACAATTCAAAGTACTAAATTCCATTTTGATGTTATGTTAATTCCCCTAGGGTGCTGTGATTTGGTGCTAGGAATTGAATGGCTTGTGACATTAGGGGATATTACATGAAATTTTTATAAGTTGTCAATGCAGTTTTTTGTCCAAGGCAAGAAACATGTCCTAAAAGGGGCTACAACTAATGTTAAAATTAACTGTGAGGAAACAGCCATTGTCCAAGGCCTTGGAAAGTAGTGTACATTTCTCCATGATACAACCTTGCAGCTCAGAAATTAGTTTACTGCATTCTTTGACAACACACGCTCCTCAAACTAATATCTCTGGCGATTTCGAGCAATTATTGCTGGAATTTGAAGATATTTTCTAAGAACCAATAGAACTGCCTCCTTCAAGAGATAGACATGACCACAAAATCCCACTTGTGCAAGGGGCCAATCCCATTAGTAAGCGACCTTACAGATACGGGAAACTATAGAAAGATGAAATTGATAGATTGGTGAAAGAATCATTGGATAGTGGTATTATACAACACAGTAACAGTCCCTATGCAAGTCTTGTAGTTTTGGTTGGAAAAAAAGACGGGTCTTGGAGGCTATGTGTGGATTATAGGGACCTTAATAAAAATACAATCAAAGACAAATTTCCCATTCCTTTGGTGGATGATCTTTTAGATGAACTGAATGGATCTGTGATTTTTTCCAAGATCGATCTCAGAGCTGGATATAACCAAGTTCGAATGCATCCAACTGATGTGCATAAGACTGCTTTCAAAATACATGGAGGCCATTTTGAGTATTTGGTTATGCCATTTGGGCTAACCAATGCCCCTGTGACTTTTCAGGAATTGATGAATGATATCTTTAAGGAGTTTTTGAGGAACTCCTTGTCTTCTTCGATGATATATTGCTCTATAGTGCTAGTTTACAAGATCATTTGCTGCACTTAAAACTGGTACTTTCTACAATGAGGCAGCACTCCTTATATGCTAGGAAATCCAAATGCTATTTTGGTGTACCATGGGTGGAATATTTAGGCCATTTTATCTCAGCACAGGGAGTGTCAACTGATCCAGCTAAGTTTTCAGCGGTTACCCAGTGGCCATTACCGCAAAATTTGAAACAATTAAGGGGTTTTTTGGGACTCTCGGGTTATTACAGGAGGTTTGTTAAAGGATATGGTGTTATTGCTACGCTATTAACTAACATGCTCAAGAAGGATAATTTTACTTGGACCCCTGCAGCAAAATTAGCTTTTTAGTCTTTAAAGGAGAAACTTGTGGCAGCTCTTGTGTTAGCTTTGTCGGACTTCACAAAAACTTTTGTTGTTGAAGTGGATGCTTGTGGGTATGGTTTGGGGGCTGTGTTGATGCAAGATCACCATCCCTTGGCCTTCATTAGTAAGAGTTTGAATCTTCAGCAGCAATCACTCTCTACTTATGAAAAGAAGTTGCTGACAGTGGTATTTGCAGTTCAGAAATGGCGACATTATTTGTTGCCTAAGAAGTTCATTATCAAAACTGATCATAGGAGCCTAAAGTACATTCTTGACCAGAGATTAACTACTACCTTTCAGCAGAAGTGCCTTGTCAAGCTCTTGAAATTTGACTTTGATATTGAATATAAACAAGGAAGAGATAATGTACTGGCAGACGCTCTTTCTAGATTGGATTTTGAGGATTCACTGGCATGCCAACCTATGCAAGTTCATCAGCCCGATTTCGACCTGCTGCAAAGAATAAAATTGTCTTGGCAAACTGACCATTCTCTACAGAAAGTAATTTCAGAAATCCAGGTTAATCCAGCTTCTCATAAGCACTTTGAATGGAGGAGGGATGAGTTAAGAAGAAAGGGTAAGTTGGTGGTAGGCAAGGATGATGAATTAAGGAAGAATCTACTTCAATGGCTGCACGAATCAGCTGTTGGTGGGCATTCTGGAAGAGATGTTACCCTCAAAAGATTGAAGGCTGTCGTATATTGGCGAGGCCTCACTAAGGATGTTAAAACTTTCATCCAAGGATGAAAAATATGTCGAACTTGTAAACCAAATAATTTTGCCTACTCGGGCCTGCTGCAACCTCTTCCAATTCCAGATCATGTTTGGCAACATATCACCATGGATTTCATTGAGGGATTGCCCAACTCTTATGGTAGACATGTCATTTTTGTTGTAGTTGACAGATTGAGCAAAGCGACCCATTTCATGGCCCTTTCTCATGCATTTTCTGCGTCGGATGTGGCCCAATCATTTTTGGATAATGTCTTTAAATTGCATGGCTTTCCAGACACAATCACTTCTAACAGGGA